CAGTAAATCAATTGCCACCATAATGGGTGTTCATGATTCTAAACATGTCAATGTCAATTTTTAATGAACCAAGTAAAAACTCCAGATATGGCCTGCTTTGATGTAACTGAATTTATCACAGTTAATGCATTTGTACTGTATTGACAGAAGATATATATTTCAATTGGATTAAGTATTTGCTTAAATGGAAGTTTAAAAGGATTTTGTTAAATGAATGGATATGGTATGTCAAGATATAGAATACAGTTCCCATTTTTTTCCCATTTCTTTCCCATTTTTTTGGCCATAAGGGTAGTTTTAAATAAATGAATAAATAAATAAATGAAATGAGATCAGTTGGAGAACGTATTTTAGGCCGAATGAAAATGAAAATAAAATAATCATTGTTTATAAAATATAAAAATTATATATTTTAGAAAAAAATGACTTCCTTTTTACAGGTAGCCATACAAATTCATAAGTATTTGCCTTGTTGCTTTTTTATGGCTTCTTAATCCCCTACTGGGAGAACAAACCAGCTGCTTTGCATCATGGTTGCATTCACAGACCCAGATTCTGGAGTCACACAGCCGTGAATTTAGTCTTTCTTCCTTTCTGAAAGCGCCATTGTTGTCCTGTGCAAATTTACCTTCAGTGGGTAAACCTGAGCAGTGAATGTCGTCAACAAATCTCCTTTCACATCTATGTCTTGTTTAGTTAAACTGAAAAAAAGCAAAACATTTTGTAGGTCTATATAAACACAGGAAAAAGGGACAGAAATATAGAGAGGAAATTGTGTAATAGACGAATGTTTTCCTCAAATTGTGAATAAAAATTGTACACATTATTTCAACTTATTTATTTATGAAAAAATATAATATCCTTTTCTTACAGGATATGTACACACCCATGATTGTACATTCGTTCTCGTATATACAGCTATAAAACAAAATATAGGTCAGTTTTCACTCGCATACGCTTTATGATGGGTGATTTCAATTGCCAATAAACACACTGATTTTTGACAGTAACATTCGTACAGAATTCTTACGAAACTATGATTTTTTTCTTCATTTAAAAAAAAAATCACCCTTTCGTGCCTTCAAGAAGAAGAATGTCTGTAATAATGTGTTCTTTGATGTCATTTTATAGTCTCCATTAGGGGATAACCTGTAAAATATTATATGGACTTATGTCTGTGGAAAGATTGAATATTTAATTTTTTTTTGAAAAAAACAATTAAATAACAAATATAGATTCTTTAAATAAAAAAAAAATGTTTATTGTGATATTATTTTTTACAGAGCTCACATTGCCAATGTTATTGAATGTGTCGTGTCGCTGGGTAGAACTATTTAATGAACACCATAATGAACTTTAATTTTAAGTATTCTTATTAATTTGTGTAAACTACCTACTGCCATGGTGTTAATGGCTTTGGGAATAGGATGACTCAGACCAAAAATGACAGAATAGTGGCTTCCTGTTTACTAACTATGGTTGAAGGATGTGATCTTTTAATATAGGGGTCAACATGAAGTGGTTTCTACTAAGGTAAACAGCTGTATAGCTCAGCTCTACTGAGTCAGAGGTTTATGTCTTTATGATCGGTCAGTAGTAGCAGTTACGATACAACTGTGTGTGGACTCAGGGTTAATATGCATTATGGCCACTGGGGCCAAAAACCTTATTAATGGGCCCATTCATGTAGCTATGAAAGAAGAAAAAAGAGTTGTTTGTTGACTTGTACTCATTTTCGATGTTAAATTACAATACTAGTCCATATGAAAGTGATCAAGTATGGAACCCCTGTGATCAACATTTATTAAAAAAGTTTCTTTTTCTGGTTAATGTTAGATAATGCAACTACTGAGAGCTGCATTGAAAATGACCCCAATCTTACACTAATACATTGGTACTGGTGTAAGCAGTTCCCATGCAGACGGATCTCAACAGAGCAAAGAAAAACAAAAAACCCATAAAGCTGTTTACCAAACGGTTTACTGGTCATTGAATGTCCTTGGATTTTAAGTGTGTTCATTGAGGTTGCATGCCTGGGACAACTGATGAAAAATAATCGGCACTGCATGCATATGTGTTCAGTTTGACTGTTGAGCCGCTATACATGTATGATGTGGATTCGATTTGCCACTAGCCATCTAAAACACTGTCTGACTACTAACTGTGGTCCATCTATAGAATAAAACGTCAACTATTTGTTTATGAGTTCTAGCCTTTAAGCAAGTACTGTATAATGTTGTCTATTTCAATGAAGGTGGTTTCTTTTGCCTTGACATTGATAGCCGCTAACAATACTATCTGCGTCTTAATTAGTTGTTTTGATCAATAGTGTGTATACAGTTGAATGAAGTGCTGGTTCTGGACACTGCGTAGCAACTGCTTATTTGCTTTAGTTCTCTACCTGGTGTAATAGGCCGACACCAGCCTGTCGCGATGACATCGGCTTTGTGGATCTTTCTCAGTAAAAACTGCCCTGCAGCGGGTGGCTGTTTTAAAACTAAAATCCGCCTGAGTGGGGAAAGCAAAATGAATCCTGCGCTCCAGTGAATTTTTTGTTGTTTCTTTTGTGCGGTTGAATAAGAACTCTCTCTCTCCTCCAAGAAATGGGAATCGGCATGTACGAACAGTATTGTTGTCATTAAAGCAAAATTCACTTTTATCAATAGGACCCCTTTGCTAAAACCCGGCTAAACAATTCACCTATTCTTTGTGCGTTAACAAACAGTACCATATTAAAGAAACAAAAGCTAAGGGGATACAGCAAGATTTAATGAGTTTAACTGCCTTATCATAATACTGTTTCACAATCCTTGGTCTTTTCTACTGCTACATGTACCACCACTGCTTCAGTATAAATCATTTGCAATTAGTTCACCCTGATTCCATGAGGAGCCATGCATTCTACATGAACTACAGTATTCAGTTCTATTCTTACCCAGTACAGATGAATGCTATTGAATATATATAACCTTTGTCACAAGAAATTTTCATTTCAAATCAAAAGCATTGTTACAGTTATTTTGTAAACATGACATTTTTTTTTTTTTATATATCTATATTTCTGTTTCATCATGGTAGTTTGAGGGAGTGTAATTTTTTTTTTTTTGTAAATTATATGCGGCCGTGGGAACCTTGTAGGTGTTCACATATTTGCTAAACGCAGCAGAGTATGGTATGAAACAATTAAAACTTTGGAAAGTTTTTATGAGAAAGGTCGGGTTTGTCACAGATATGTTAATTAGATGCCTTGGAACACTTGGACTCAATTGTGCTAGTTCAGTCACCGTTTTTATTGACTTGCAAGGACTGATGCAACTACAAGTTGAACAGTTTTTATGAGAAACAACACATTGTTCTTTCTCTCACACAACTGGGCCGTTTGTATCTAATCTAACAGGCACAATAGGGAGTAGGTCAGAAGACAAAATTTTCAAGAGGAACCATCCTTGAAACAGATCCAGTCAGCAATTACCTTATTCATGTCTATGTTAAACACAAAATGGAGCTCTTGATTTTCAGAGTGTTGAATTTATTCATCAATTTCAAGATAATTTTTTGATGAAATTGTTTTCCCCCTTTTGAATGTACCTACATCAATTTTCTATTTACAACTGTAGGTGGCGCTTTCCAATATTATGAAGAATGTATCACTTGGTTGCTTTATTTGTATTTTCTAAAACAAACTGTATAATTTTATTGAAAAATAACAGAAGAAGAAGAAGAAGAAGCAGTCAGATAATTTTTTTCCCCAAATTTTAAGATACAAATAATCTCATTTTCTGTTTTTTGTTTATCAACAGGCTGGTGGGCAGGAAGAACGATACGAAGATTGCAAGCCGGTTGGGTTTGCAGAAGATCAGTGTCGATTTGAAGGCAAGTATCGATTGACTTTGTTTGGCTTAAATTGTTTTTTTCTCAGGGGGCGTTTTCCTTGGTAATGTTGTAAGCCGCAGATGGGTTTAAAAAATATGTCACTGGTGAATGTATATCATATACATAATAGTTTCATGCATTTCTCGTTTCCTCCTTTTGATAAACAGTTCGGAATTCCTTATTTACGTAAATTTCTTTAATTCTATAATTTTAATTATGGACAAAATGGATGTAATTATCATCTAGCTATACAGATTGTGGTCAGTTTGTTTATGTGTTGTGAAATGTGACAAAAATCGAAGCTTAATTTGGGTATCACTGCAGCTCCAAAGATGAATCATATCGACCAATGTAAAATTTTGACCTCACGATCAATTAATCATAATGAATAGTTTACTGTATTTATAATTACATTTCATTGAAATCAAAATGAAATGTTTCAGTTGCTATGGTAGCAGTTTCCCAGCGTTCTAAACCATATATATTGCTTTTATATTAATTTGACCGAGAAAAAAAACTACTCACTTCTTTAATAAAAAGATTCAGTTTTCAAAATATCAATATTCTTATTATGTTTTTTATTTCTTAACTGTTTATATGTCACCACTCACAGAATAAACTAGCACATTTTAATCAAAATTTGTAGCAAATGAATAATTGTATCTTTATTTGGTCCAAAATTAAGTTGTTGACATGATTTAAAAAAAAAAGTGTTCAAAGAATCAAATAAATTCATTGACTAAGACATTGACTTTAGTTTTCAGGTAAAATATCGGCCAAGCTGTTTTGTAACTGGTCGCATTACAATGTGTACGTGCATTTCTGCAGCCTTTCAAAATCTGTTTCACAAAGAACTGCATACAAATTCTCTCAAGTGGAAGAATAAAAATGCCTTTGTAACAAATTGCATTTGAGTATTGTTGTTTACGCAAAAACAACCCACATAGATTGGGTTTGAGATTGTTATTCAAAACAGTGAATTGAAAATCCCTTGTATTTTTCAGTTTATATGTTTATATCAAGTTGCATGAAGGAATGCAATCCACTTCTCTGACAATAATTTAATCTACGTTGTTTTTGTTTAGTTGAAATTAATTATTTTTTCTTTTTCTGAATTCAGTTGCACTGCCGCCAGAAACCATGTCAGGAAAAGCGAATGTGACGGTGTTGACATTTGACCAGAGTTTTGATAGTGATACAAAACCGCCTATTGGTAACTCCAAGTCAGGAATCAGTGTGAGTGTTTATCGAATAGTAAAAGCACTCAGTTGTGTTTACTACCGTATTTGTGTGTTTATGTAAATATTCTGTTCACAACATTAGTCATCTTTCATTATATTAACTTACAAAAAAAATCAATTCCTTGCTTTGTTATGAAATTCAAGTAAACAAATGTTTTCGGCCGCACGAAACACCAAAAGGAAACAATATCTACTAAGTTTGTTTCATGCACCAGTTGGCCTGAAACTGCATCTTTCGACCGATAGGTTAAGCCCGTTATTAACCAATCAGAATGCTGGGTGGTGCAGCCAAAAGTATCAGTAAATTTCCGGATATAGGCATCCTTTGGCATTGATTTTGGTTTTTGAATCAGGAAATTATTAATTTTTTGAAGATAAAATGAGCATTGAAGAAGTATTTCAGATTTCACAGTTTACACTAGTCACAATAAATGTTCATATTCTTGAATAGGCTTCAGCGACTATGAAATACATAAATTTGACTAATTGAGAAAATACGTCTAAATTAGAATAACCATGGTATGCACATTACAAACATTGCAGTTCGAGCATTGCAGTTCCTAGTGTGCACTTGTTGAAAATCAAATTTGGCATTTTTATCAGAATAACAACAACCTTAAATTTAAAATCAAAATAGCCACCGAAACCAGGGCTTCACACTATGGGGGAAATAACAAAGTTATTGTTTTCATGGAAACAAGTTTGCTTACCCCTCTTTTTTTTTTTATGTATTATTTTTTTATTTATTTGATAGAACCTTTTCACAAATATGAAGAATGTATAGTGGTCTCAGTTGGGTACAAATTCAGATTGACACATGTAAATTCCTGCAAACGATAACACAGATTATAATAATCTTGTGCATTAAAATGGTTTACATCAATCTATTGAAAATTATCCATTGTCTAAACACGTACCGGAAAGAGACTAAAACTGAAATCCCGAGTTTTGCCAACACACAAGACCACCAATCATGTTGTAAATAACACAGCTCAAACCGATAGAAACCAAATGAGACTCGAGATAAAACAGACAATTTTTTTCTTTTTCTTTGCTTGACTTAAAAAACTGTTCACTGAGGGATTTCAGATTTAGCTGAAAGTGGAAACACTTATCGTATAAAAGGAAACAAGTTAGTCCTGTTTTAACAAGACGTGAAGTGTTTACACAAAGGTCCTCTAATTTTCTAAAGTACTGAAGTCTTTTGAGGACCCTTGTTTCCTTTGGGGAAAAAGAATTTAACTGAGTGGCGTCGTTTTGCTATAACATTCCGAAGATCAGCTGCCAAAATCTAGTTGTAAAAAAAGTATGTTATTTTTTCCTTTCCCAAACTCTAAAATAATAATAATAAAAAAAATAAACTGGTAAACAGTGCAGACTAAGATGTAAAAACAAAGATGTAGTTGAAATTATTTTTTAGGTAAAGTTTCAGTTTTTCTACAAAGTTTTGCTCAAGTTTTTGATGAAATTGTCATAAATTTCTTAGATGAGACATATTAGTTGTGGTCAGATACATCTCTAATCACTGAAATTGACCACAGGCGATGGAAATAATATCTTTGCTTCACTGGTTTTTACTTATTTATCTTACGTACAGAGGATTTCGTTTCACGTCTATTGAGCCATAAACTTTGGATCATCTGTTATAAATGTCTTCCAAATTACAAGGGTGTCTCCGAAATAATCTTGACTAATAAAACAAATTGGGATTATGTTATTAGGAGGAATGATACAATTAACTAGTTACCTGAAGATAAACATTCTTGCAGTGTGTGTTAATGCAAACTCAAGAGGGCGCTGTTCTAACAAGGCTTACAATAATAGCTATCGGCGTTGCTTTTTGAGAGCCCTTAAACCAATATTGTTGTTTTCGTTCCTTGCAGGAGGTCTCCTGTGATGTCTCCGTTGATGATTTGGATAAACAAGAATGGTGTTTCACACTATATGACTTTGATGGGCATGGAAAAATCACTCGAGAGGTAAACATGATTTGAAATTTTTAATCAGGAGCCAGAATGGAATGGAAATAACGCTTTCACTTTATGTTAATGAAGTCATGATTATAAAGGCAGGTACAGTAGTTGTCATAGTATGTCTGTCATCATTGTTGTCATCATTAACAATATATATTTGTTCTCTATTGAACCAGGACCTTGCTAGTTTGATGCATTCGATCTACGAAATGGTTGGATCGACAGTTAAACTACCACCCTCAGGCAGCAAAACAATGAAACTTAGATTGTCAGTAGTGCCAGAGAGCAAAACCGGTCAGGTGCTGATGGAGAAAACAGTGGAAAATAAAGAAAACACTAAAGCTGTGCACCAGAAGCCAATAAATGGTAAAATAGTGAGAACACCAGCAGAGAGGTTAATTGGAAAAATGGAGACCGGTGTCCACAGGGGTCGAAAACAGAGGCATCGGCACCATGAGGAAGAAGAATCACCGATACAGAAAAGGCGTTCAAGATCAGACATGGGTCAGAGAACTGATTTAACAGAATTATTACACAGAAATGCAGATAGACATCCTTATAGAAATAGTCGTCTCAGGTCAGTTGTCATGGCAACTTTTACATTCGCTACGTACCATATTTTCTCTATTAAAAGCGCAACTCCAATAGAAGTACATGCATCTATAAACCAAAATTTGTGTTTGTTGTATACTGGATCATTAAAATATTTTGAATATAGAAACACATGCTCTTCTTATATAGCAAATATGGTACGTGTCCTTTGCTCATTAATATAGAATTGCAGTCCTTTTTTTTCTAGAAAGTCTTTTGGTGTTTAGAAATGTTCAAATGTCGGTAGTTTATTTATTATATCAAGTGTTTTACATAATATCTAAAACTACAAAACTGTATTATTGTCTCTGGTAATATGCAAATTGTCTCCAAGATTGACTCATTGTGATTAACTTTACTTCATAGGAGGCACCATAGCGATCAGAGGGGAACGACAGCTATGGAATCAGAAAGACGACAAAAGTATGCAAACAACAGGGACCATATTATGGACAGAGAGAGCCGAGATCGACGGAATCATTATTTGGACTTAGCTGGAGTGGAAAACTACACCAGCAAGCTGCAGGAATCACCTATTGTACCGCAATCACGCAACCATGGTAACATTGCCCCGCTCAGGTCAAAATCGCAACATTGCTCACGGGGTCATGGTCATTATCGCAACCGGGGACACCACAGGTCGCGGTCGTACGACCCTGCTAATATGCGCATTTGTGAAAATCTTGCACAAGCACGGACTCAGGATTTCAAAACGAGCGAGTTGTATCAGAGACTCCTGGAAACGCAAAGAGTACAAAACATATACAGTTTACATAAAGTGAAATCGCCAAAAGCTTGTGGTGAACTTAGTGCACAGGTGTGTAATGAGCTGGCTGCGCAATCAAGAACAACTAACTACCCAATCAATGAACGTTTAAGTCCTAGTACTGGGAAACACAAGCGAACGCGCCACAGGGAACAACTGAAGCAACAGATTTCAATCTTAGAACAGGAGTTTGTCAAAGGAACTGAGAATGTTACACCAGAAATGACACCTACAATAATCCAGAGACACGAACATCATCACCATCATCAGCACCATCATCATTATCACTATCATCATTACCACGAGACATAGCATATGGTGAAATGACAAAGAACATTATTAAATTATTTGAAAACAAATATTCTAGAAATATTAAAAATACAGAAATAATTCTTTAATATATAATTTTATTATCTGATATTTTATGGTGCCGTTTTAACCCCCCCCCCCCCCAGTTGACAATTGTTTTAAATTGGTAAACTGTTTTTCTAACACAACTGTTCTCACCTCTAGAGGGCACTCTTTAATACATGTATAACTTTCAAAACATTAGTAATTTTATGTTGGTGCTTTTTTGGCTAGTCTTGATATTTAGATTCTAACCGATAGATCGCCATCTATTGTTGAAAAGGTGATTTTTTGGTCTTGTAATTTCAGTTTAACATTATCACCAGCAAGCATACTACTGCTTTATAGCACAAAATGGTGGATTGCATAAATAACATCTCTTTATTTAATATTGTAAGCATTTGTTTTTCTATAAGTTTACACCAAATAGATGTTGCTATAGGTCTTGATTCAAAAGATTTCAATTTCAGTACTTTAATGAAACTTCTTGCTTTTAATTTTGTGAACAGAGAAATAAAAACCCAGTGTATTTGCTCTAGTACTTGCATTGCCTACCATATTTGTATCTGATCATGGCACCATACTCTTCTTTTAAAACAAATGCTGCATGTGTGTGTGTTAGGAAAGGTTGAATAGCAGATTTTGGTGTATTATATATACTCAAAATTTTGCCGTCGCACAAGGATGATGTTTTAGAGTGAAAGCTTCTTGTCAAAGTAAACTTTCAGAAGTGTTGTCATTTTGTACCAAGCAACAGTAGAATCACCCAGGGTCATGTGACTTAAACTTTTGATTTGCCAATCATTTGGGTACAGTCTCAGGTTGGTTCTACATAAAAAAGCTCCAAACTCTTATTTGCCAGAAAATGAAAAAAACTGAGATGTCACTTTGGTTCCTTCAGTTTACTGAGGCATTGCTTGGCGCAGTCTATTAGCAATGGTTTTTTAAACAACCTAGGTGGTTGCTTCATGGTTGTGCCACAAAGCAACCACCAAGGTTGGTTTGATTTGAGAATCATTGATAACACTACTGACTGTCGATTTAAAAAAAAAAAAAAAAAAAAAAACGTTTTACTATTTATTGAGTTTAAACAAAAACGACTAGTTTAGAGTGATATAAATATACTGTGGAATACTTTATTTTAGCTGGAATTAATTTTTGCTGAAAAGGCTTTTTGGGCTTTCTTTATGGAATTAATTTTCACTGATTTTTAATGAGTTGAATGTGAAATATAGGAAAAAAAGTATATTCGCTGGATTTTATTTTCACGGAATCATTCCTTCAGCGAAAATAGCGAAAATAAATTCCAAGCGGAAATAAGGTATTCTACAGTATATGGTGAATGGGAACTTGCTGAAGTTTTGGCTGAAATTGACCAGTACTGGTCAAATAACATGACTACCTCGTAGATTGTCAAGTTTAAATCGTGTCTGTGCTTTATCAACAGCAATACTGTTTTAATTGTCACTTTCTGTACTTCATAAAAGTATGCACTAAATAATCTATTACTGTGTAATCTATTTATATCTGTGTCCTTTGACGTGTCTTGCAAAAAATTGCAGTTGTTTTTTTGGTATTGTACAAGTAATTGGTCAAAATTCAAACGCAAAACTTGACTGCTTATGATAGTTGGTTCTGCAGACTTCTTTGAGTAGCTACACAATGTTTGTATTGAAGTGTAAATGATTGGATCTTACAAGTCACACAAAGTACTTTCAAGTGCTTATATTATGATAAGTTTGCCAATTTCTAGTCAGGAGATCCTTAAAGTGTGGTGGTCATTGTGCAGGGAGTGTTCAAATTTTATGTGAACAAAGAATGTATTGTATACGTTGTGTGGGACCCATTTCATGATGACCACAGCTCTATAAGATGAGAAATCTCAGCGAATTTGCCCTTAAATTATGAATATTTAATGGTTCATCGTAATTTCATGTTTAGTTTTGAACACCAAGGACAATACTATCTATTTTATAACTCTAAGTAAGTAGCAGAGTTATGTGAAATCTGAAATGCATACTTAAGATTTCATTCCATAACCAACAAAATTTACCAAAAAAAATTTCACAATTTTATTTAAAAAAAAGCAAACATTTAAAAAATATAATTGTTTTAAAAAGTATTATTGAAATATACATTGCCATGTATACAGTTAATATATATATATATATATATTAATGTTTTTTTTTTCTCTCAAAAATGTTGAATCAGTTTTTCATAGTATTGCCTTTTGAATGGCCAATTCTTGTGGATTGTCTGTTTCAGTTTATTTTTCTCTTCAGCTGAAATGTACAAATTTCATCCATCCATTCAAGGACAACATTTTTTTTCTAAAAGTGCAAATACTTTAAATTTAATTAATATTAAAAAACAATATCCAAAGTCGTATAGTGAATGCACCATGTTCTAAATACAAGTTATGGGTTTTTAATGTCAATATAGATTGAAATATTTAAAAAAAAGTGGATTTTTGTTTGCTAGTGGATCATTGAAAATTAGTGTATATTCAGTATTTTCCCAGAGGGAGTTAATATATTTTCTATGTAACATCATTGACTTTTATTAAGTAAATTTTTGATTTTATTGAGTGTTTGATGTTGAGCACTCCGGCAGGTGTTAACTGCATTAAAGAATTCTGGAATGGAAACTGTGTTATTGTAATATGTCATTTCAAAATTTACTTGTGCACTGTACTGCATAGCAGAAGTTGAATTCTATCGGCTTGCAATTCACATCAGATTCACTGGATTAACAAATCGGTCAGAATGCAGTTGGTACATTTCCCAGCATTCATTGCACGCATATATGTATTTGGAGTTGGCTTTATAAGATGGACTGCTACTTGCAATTTTTTGATGTGCCCACATTTTTGTGCATATGGCATTACAATAGTTGTGTCAAAATTAGTCTACCATTACTATTCTAACTGCATATCGTGCACCATTTTTTTTGGCCCCACTGTCATCCTAAGATAACAGAGTGGAGCGATTCATATAGGCGAAGTCTAGTCAACCATTGCATTTTCAACATTTTGAAAACTACCAGCTTTGATATGCAGTTTCCTTAGGTCAGATTTGTTCATTTCCGGATAGGGTGAACAATTTTGTTTTAAAGAATGTAGTTTCGGATTCTTATCTCAGACATGCCTGGATAGATCAATTTTCAAACTTGCACATACATGTACATCACCTCTTGCATGCATTTTTGTAACTATCAAAGTTAAGATGGCTGACTGATGGCCATTTTGTTTAAATGAATGCAGTTCAGACATTGCATACTTGTCTGGACCAATTGAGTTTAAACATCACACACAAGGTCATATATTCTGGATTGAAGTTTTTTTTTTCCAATATAAAACGTACAGATAATAAACAAATGAGTTATAAATAGCTTACAGTGAGGATGGAGGAAATAGTTCCCTAGAACTAGTTTAGTATATGACCCTTTAAAAGAAACAAATAGTAAATATTAATAATTTATGAATAAGAACATAGTTTTATAAATTATCAAATAAACTGATGAATGTCTTAAATTAACAAAGGAGGGAAAAAAACCCAGGATTTTTTGCTATTGCTTGGAGGGAAAAAAACTTGCATGGAAAATAAATACATAAAAAAATATGAACTGAAACTAGTAGATATTTCGTCATTTCACTGACTTGGGGCATATTTTTAATTTGGATTTCAGTTACTCATTGATTTAATTCAAACTTTGTCCTTACAATGAGCATTATTCTTGAGGCATCCAATTTTGATTTCCTGACTTACCATCATACTGACTGTCGGCATATAATTGTGAATAACATTTCTGTATATATCAATTTACATGGAAATAATGTTGTATTGTTAAAAGACAATTTTCTGTTAAACATTTTATTTGTATAACACTAAAAAATGAGCATTTCTGGTAATGTAACTTCATAAAATATAATAAAATAAAATAGACTAAAGAAAGATATAGACAAATGACTGCAATAGAAGTGTCACAAGACAGCAGAATATTAAAGACATGAAAATCACGTTAAAGGAATGAATCAAACAAGTGATAATTGTGAAAATAAAAAATTAATGTCACAAAAAATAAAGAAATCTGATGGAAGTCCATACCTATCGTTTAACACCATATTTTAACAAAAATGACATATATTCATTAAAAATGAAGAATTAAAGATATTGCCTTGATATGAACAAATCTGATGGAGGTCTACCAGACGTACCTACATATAATACATATCAAAGCAATTAGGCTGCAGTTGAAAGAAGAAGTTGAAAATAATTTTTTTTTAACAAAAAATTGACAAAAGTATTTACTAACAATAAAAAATTCAAAATATCGTCTTAATATAAACAACTCTGACTACACATAACATTTCAAAGCAATCAGGCTAGTAGTTTTCAAGAAGAAGTTGAAAAAGTAAGAGTTGCACAAACAGACAGACGACAATGAACAATCACCTAAATGAACAACTCTGCCTTATCTAAGATGACAGTGGAGCTAATAAAACCACTTTGTTCATCTCTGTTTTGGACACTTTCAGGATTTGTTGGCAAATTTGATTGAATCACAAAATAACGCAGCCTAAAGTGTTACCTAAGAGTATAGTACTTGTATGCAAACTTTCAACTAAATCAGGCAATATATCAAGATGGACATGAATAAAAACATAATGGACACCAGTCAGCCATTTTTAAAAGTATGATGTGCACCTGCAACTTAATATGCATGATTATGATGCAAAGTTGGAGTGAAATAATCTTGTTCATCTCCAAGAAATAGTTCTGGACTTGTTTATAAACTGCGATTTCAGGTTTTTAGAAAAAAAAAATGCAAATCAAATGCAAAAGTGGTGTTCATCATATACCCATTGATGGCCATTTTGTTTTTATTCATTTGTTTACAGATTCCTCACTTATATGTGATTGATTCAGTTGAAAGTTTTTACACAAGTACTATACTCCCAGGTTATACTGTTGGACGTGTTATTTGGTGATTCGATTAAATTTGTCAAATTGACAGCTATTTTGTCTAAAATCCTAAAAATCGCAATCTGTAAACATTTTCAGAACCATTTTCCATGCATAATTGGTTACAGGTAGATGTTATTTTTCCAGAATCAAACAAAAATGGCAGATTTGTGGCCTTTTTTCCCATTAATTTCTATGCTGATTTCTTACTAATATTTTGGGCAATTCAGTTGAAAGTACCAGTATGTACACAAGTACTAATACTGTAGGATATGTTATTAGTTTTGAACAGAAATGTGGACTAATGGCTCAAACTTCATACATGCATCTTATTGGACACATTCATTTGCTTCATGACCCGATTCCAGATGGCAAAATGGCAGCCAATTTATGATTAATATGCATCAAAATTACACATATTCATTCCAGAACCGGATCTCAGATTTTGTTCAAACTAGGTACATACATTGAAAATAACCCTGATACACTTCATTTTATTTTTCAAATTGACCTCTAAATTTTACACATTCATCTCATCAGACAAATGCATGTGCATTTTTGTCACTATAAAATCCAAAATGGCGCTCATTTTGCTCAAACCAATGCAGTTCCATGAAGCCATATCTCGTACAGGTCTACCCCAAATCAAGTTTAAACTTCACACATACCCTGTACATCACACATCAGGTCATTATTTAATTGAATTAAAACTTGGCCTATACAATAATCATCATGGAACTTGAGGCATTTAATTATGTTTCCTGATTAGATTTATAATCCCCTGACTGGCCGCCATATTGTTTTATAGTATGCTGTACATTGTAGCTGTAATTCTGATAGGTCTTCCTATGCACTTTATATCAATTCACACTAATTTTTATGGGGCACTATTGCTGTTACAAGATAACTTTTGTTTGGCCATTTTATTTCACTGATTTTTTTATTAAAGTAGGTACAAAAACAAAACATAATAGTATACCTAGTCACATCAATTTTTGTATTTTGATGACATATTTCGCCCAACTGATGGACATTTTTGTCCCTCATGTTTCTCAGGGATGCCTGTTTGAAGAAAATCAGCCCAGTGGA